TATTTATTATATAATATTTTAAATTAAATATTAGATTAAAAATAATTTTAATATAAGTTTATTTAAAATTAAATATATTTTCTCACAGTGCTTATACTACTATAATAATTTAAGATGTCAGAGATATAAATCCACAGAAGTCTCTAATTAATATGTTATGTGAACAACTCTACAAAATTTGATCACCAAACTGTGAATTAAATCAAAGAAGGGATTTTAGCGAGCGAGACTTCACAGGCTTTCTCCCTCTCCTCTTCATCACCCTCTTCTTCCTCTTCTTATAGGTAACGTTACCGGGGATCTCAACATCTTCTGCTACTGCTTCTTCTTCTTCTTCTTCACCATTATCACCATCGACTGTAGTTTCAAAATCTGCTATTTTTCCATTGCAATCCTTCGAAGAAATGTCGTTCTCCGCATTCCACTCAGTACTTTCGTTGACAGGACCTCTGCGTTTACCCCACCAAGGTCCCAGAATGGAGTAGTAGTAGTAGTATTTGGAGGCGGCTCCGCCGCAATCCACGGCGAAAGGAGGTTTCTTTCGGTGGTCGCCGGGGACTTGGTCTTCGAAGCGAGCGCGGTAGGAGCGGAGCTGGGTGAGGTGGTAGCTGCAAAGAGAGTGCGGGGGCTTCGCGAGGCGCTTGCAGCGCCATCTTTTGCCGTCGGTTTTCTTGCATTTCATCACGCCCGCGGGTTCCGATTCTTTCTCCTCCGCTTTGTATTCTAATTCTTCATTCTCCTCCTCCTTTTCCTTGTCCAGGAAGACGTTTCCGGCAACGGTAATTTCCGGCGACTCGTCCGCGGTCTCCAACTCTTCCTGTCAAAATCTCAATGCTATTAAGAAAAAAAGAGATGGTTGGAAGGATCGATCGTTCTAACCCTTCGAGCAGTTGATCTAATCATCGAGCTACGATGGACCTACCAACTCGCCAAGAAGTCAGGCCGTGCAATCCGACGGCGCCGGCGTTGAAAAGTCAGAGATCTCAGTTGTCTTCTTCTTTTCTCCCTTTCCCTTTCTGCTTTGATCACTTACCGTTTTCTCTCTTTTGTAGTATTTTATCATTTTATGTATATGTTTTGGTTTGAAACAAATTATCTCAATATATCTATCTATTAAATTTGTAGATATATAAAGATATTTATTCAAAATAAAAGAATTGTTGCGTCATAGAGTATTTGCGGCGGTAGAGAAATATATAGTTTAACGTCTTAGCATTGCACAAAGATCCAGCACGCAATCAGATAAGAGAGAAGGTGTAGCATTCATAAAAGACACAAGAGTTCTTACATGGAAACACCTGAATAGGGGGAAAAACCACGGGGCCTAACCCAGTATGAATGAATCAACTAGTATTTGCAGTCGATTACAAATGAGGCCCTTCCTTAGGAGAAGGCCTTGGCTTGATGTCACAAACGTACATCATATAGAGCACATTACATGGTGGGAGTTACATAGACATGTTTGTTTGGTCGGTGCGCAGGACCATAGTCGATGGGATAGTGGTCGGAAAGATCGTAGTTGGCAGGAGACCGAGGTCAGAAAGACCATTGTCCGACGATGTAGGTTTGAAGGACTGTAATATGCAGGAGATTGAGATTAGAAAGATCGTTGTAGTAGGGCGGTACTCTGGTAGAACTCTGGGCATCATGTGGTGTCCTGACAGAAGTTCGGGCCACAGGTAGTTGTCCGGCAGAAGTCTGGGTCTCAGGTGGTGTTCTGGCGGAGCAACGACGTCAGATAGTGGTCCGGCGGAAGTCCGGGCCATAGGTAATGGCCTGGTGGAGCACAAGGCCTCAAGTGGTGGCCTGGTGGAGCACAGTGCCTCAAGTGGTGGTTCGGCGGAGCAACGACAACAGGCGGTGGTCTGGAGGAGGTAAGGGCCTCAAGTGGTGATTTGATGAAGCAACGGCATCAGGCGGTGGTCCGACGAAGGCAAGGGCCTCAAGCGGTGGCTTGGTGGAGCATAGAGCCTCAAGTGGTGGCCTGGTGGAGCACAGTGCCTCAAGTGGTGGTCTGGTGGAACAACGACGTTAAGCGGTGGTCCGGCGGAGGTGAGGGCCTCAAGTCGTGGTCCGGCGCAGCAACATCGTCAGGCGATGGTCCGACGGAGGTGAGGGCCTCGAGTGGTGGCCTAGTGGAGCACAGGGCCTCAAGTGGTGGCCTGGGGGAACACAGGGCCTCAAGTGGTGGCCTGGTGGAGCACAGTGCCTCAAGTGGTAGTCCGACGGAGCAACGACGTCAGGTGGTGTTCCAGCGGAGGTGAGGGCACCAAGTGGTGGTCCAGCAAACTCAGAAGGTGGTCGAGGAGGAGCTTCTTCATTCTCTTATATTATTTTCTTCTTGCTTGGATCCCTTTTCAAGAGGAATGAGGGGTCTATTTATAAATGTTTAGAGTGGCATGACCTGTAAATAGGTGAGAGATTAATTAAGGGTAAATGGAAAGTGGTTTGATGGACAGCCGATATTGAATCCCTTGATTATGCACCATTCGTTAGACATTTGAAGGCCTTAATGATGTCGGAATTCGGCGATATTGGGCTCGTTTTGGATTCGTCTCGTCAAGCCGCTTGATTCTACTATAAGCACGTCTTGTTTCGAAACCGTTTGTTGACCCAAATTATGGTTTGAACCTTTCAACAGCGCTTCAGGTCCTTGATTTGGACTCATTTGGGCTCGGATTGAGTCTAATTTGGTGTCGTTGGGTTCGTATTTCCGAGACGTTCAATTCGACTATAAATTTGCTGAAATCGGAGTTCATATGGTCCCAATTTTAATTTTGGAAGTTTTCAACTTGATTTCACATCAAGATTCGTGCCTGATCAAGATAATTTTTTGATAGCATATCAAGAATATTGATATAATTATAGAAGGTTTACAATCCATTGCAAATCTTTGTTTATCCTTTCATATAAATTATTCTATAATTATCTAGTTTTTTTTTTCTTTAGGGTCTTAAGAATAAAAGTTCGACTGAGATAAATCATTACAATTAAAATCAAGTTTAAAATTTTATTTATAATAAAAATTAGGCTTTAGCACTCTCTTGAATATGATTTTCAAAGCTCAATGAACTTGCTCATCCATGCCTTAACCTAATAGTTGAAGTTGTCAAAGGTTAAGAGTTCGCTATGATCTGTTAGGATTTTGGGTGATGATATTGGATATAGATATGTGACTTCAACAAAGCCTAAATGATACATGCTATTTGCAATTAATTGTTGTGTGCTAGAAAATTTATTACTACAGAGATAAAATATTTAAGGTATTAGCATTGTATGAAGATCTACCATAGACAAATAAAAAAAGATGCAAAAGACATCATAGTTTTTATGTGGAAAAGCCCGAAAATGAAAAAAAAAAATAGTAGTGTTTCTCATAAATTACAAATGAGCCCTCCCCCGTGATTGAGGAATGTATTGATACAATATAATAGACATACAATATATATAACATATTTCTTATAGCATCGAATGCAAATGGGCCCATGCTGATTCAGCTTGAGGGAGACATGTACGTAAATGTTTATGTTTTATATTGCACATATATTTAAGAAATAATATTCTTCAACTAAATATTTTGTGCATGTTTTATCCATCAAAATAGCCCATACACAAGATAAAGGATATCATACATATGAGATTTGGTGATCCATGTCTCTTGACAGAAAATCTCAAAAGAAGTGCACGACAAGTGGTTCAGAGAGTTTGAGATTAGTAAGTTATAATATTATTAACATCTCTTCATATTTTATTACTCTACTAAAGAATTTTTTAAAAAAATTTGTTGTATACATCGAGATTTCTATAGGTTGCCTGAATATGGTACTCAAATCAGAATAAATTTTGAGAAATACGAAGCAACTCTCCTGCGAGAAAAATCATTCGCATTAGGACGGTAGGCGAGCGACCGTTTTGGATTGGAGAGGGTGTATGAATAGAGCTCGACAATGCTTGGGGCAAGCTAGATTTTATAATAAGGAGGGAGTAGAACAGGCATAACCGAGCTTATGACGTCAGGGGCCTGGGTAGCTCCCTCCATATTGGGGATCAATTCTAAACACTGAGCATAGATAAAAATTGGTAATAATTTTAATAAATTTTTATGCATGCTAATCTAAGTATATTGCAGAATGAGATGCTTGATAGAGAATCCAATAAAGTTGAGTTACATAGTCATACTCATAAACGCTAAGAGGACCAATAGTTTGATGATAATTATATTATACTTACATAAATATCATAAGTGATGATTGTACGATGATGTTGACCTCATCTTTGTATGAGATCATCATAACCCATTCAACCTCTAATCAAACTTCAATACATCCTCCAATTAATCTCTAATTCAATTTTCACTCCAAACCTCAATCTAATTTTCAATCACCCTTTAATCCAACCTTTAATCAAGCTGCAATCATATTCAATCAATCTCAATCATCTATTTGATTGTGATAGATGTGAATGATTCAAACTCAATCATTCAAACCCAAAATTGTATTCAAATCAAAAATTTTAAGTCAAAATCCAATGTTAAAGGCCTATGCCTGGAAATCTTTTATGGGTAATTTTCAATCATCTCAAAACTCAGCCAAATAATCTCTGATTCATGATCTATCAATTGCATACTAATTAGGCATGTCCCTAGGGTAAACTCTCAAAATTTGAACCCAATATGATACTTTTAACTCCTGAAATTGAATTAAAATCCAAAAGATGCAAAACCTCAAATATCTACATCATATGCCACTAGACCTAACACCTTTCAAATTTGATCTTAGGACATTCCCCAAAACTTTTGATCATGTCTATAGTTTTTTCATGACATGTTGACCAATAAATTGCATTTTGATAGACCAAGTTTGACCCATAGTTGACCAGGGGTCAAAATGATCAAAATGCCCTTTGAGGATAAATTTGGACTTTTCCCCAAAACTTAACATAACTCAATCACATCAAGCCTTAAAAGCTCTTCTAAGGTATCATAAACATCACTAGGAGTATATTGGACTCAAAATCAAGATTTGATTTGACCTAGTTGATCAAATCAACCATGGTTAACTAAAGTGACCTTTACCTTTCAAATATGCATTTCAACTCAAATAGCTTTCTTATCACTTGAAACCACATCCGTTGAATTCAAATAATCAACCCAAACTCAATGAACCCTACCCTTGACCTTCGGGCAGCTTGGTTGACCAAGTCAATCAAGTTTGACCAAGCCCACATACACTCCTACCCTTTTCAAATCCATTGACCAAGGCTTTCCAAGCTAATTCAAACCCATAAAATGATCTATTAAGTCCCTAGGAGACTTCTCTTAAAGACCCAAGCCTTTGACCCGCTTGGTTTAGTCATATGACTTGATAAAAGTGTCTAAAGAGAGTTATCCTTAATCCATATCTCACCCTTAAGCCATATTGGATCAAGCCAATGATCCCATTGGGTTCCTCCTGACCCAATGCACCTGTCTTAGTTGACTCAGCCCTTGGGTAAAATCAGGTTGGAAATTGAGCTAACGCAAAGTGGTCAAAACCACTAAGGGTTGAGCCATTTTTCAACCTAGGCTTCACTAAGCCTAATCAACACTTGCATTGAGTGGCCTTGGCCCAGCCCCTAGGTTGACTTGGGTTAAGACTTAAGCTAGCCCAAAGTGGTCAAAACCACTTTAACATGCGCTCTTTCTCACCACAAACTAAATCAAGCTCAATGGACAGTTGCACTGGATCCCCCTTGACCCAATGCACCTTCAATATCAACCCCAGCCCCTGGCTTAACCCAGGTTACACCCAAGTTGACCCAAACCATACATATTTGGGT